ACAGCACCCTCAGATGTCACTCAGAAATTTGACTGCACAGTGGGGAGAAGAGGAAGGATGTCTTGTAGTTCTTGCGCGCCGGCAGGGTGTTCTCTGGCTTAGCTCCAAGAGATTTAATGGGGTTTTTTAGCCCCCTCAGAGCCATGTAGATACAGAGATGCCCAGCCTGAACCCAACCAGACGTGCTCTGGGAGCCAGGCAGGGGCGCAGCTCCTGAGGGGAGGGACGGAGTTGGTTGGTTGAGAGGAAAGGGTTATTTTTCCTTCAAATGACAGGAATATTTTTAGCTTAGTATATGTTAAAAAAGGAAAACTGTCAACAGCTTACGGAAGACCTTTAGCAGTGCAGTTAACTGCGAACTGGGGCAAAGCAGGTACAACTTCACCCCAAAAATGTTTTGTTTGGCTGGTGTTGGTTTTTTAACTTTTTGGCCCAGACGCCCCCATTGATCTGTGTGGACAACAGCTGAATTTCAACTGCACGTACAGATCAGACACTGACATAAAATCTTTCTCGCCGACTCTCTTCAGAAATCCTTACGGCTTTTCTAGAGCCTCTCCGTTCAACCAAGTAACTGTCTGCTCTCCCTTCAACGGGGGTCATCGACGCGGTTAGCAAGGATGTGTTTAGAAGCGAGAAACGGAACTAAATTTTTTTTCTGTTACGCTCAGCGTCCCTGTGCTCTTTTGGCTGCCGCTGAGGTGGGTTAAGAGAAAGAAACGGAACGAAATGCTGGCTGACCAGTTAGGGTGGGGAAGGAAGCTGAGGGCTCGCACGGGCGCACGTCACTGCGGGGCTGGGTTGTAGCTCTCCTCCCAGCAGTAACACAGGGGCGTGGGGGGGGCGGAGTAGCAGAATTTGAGAAAAGAACACCACCCACCATTGATGCAAAAATAAACCACTTTGGGCTCCTGCAGTACCTACCCTGTGCCTTACACAGACAGCCCTGTGCTGTGTCAGGGGCCTGCTGACTCCCCTGCCTTGGAGCGGAGAACGCGTCTGAGAGCAGAGCGCTGCACGGCGGGCAGAACTGTAACTGCCCCGCGGCCTCCAGCAGGACCCCGGCTTCCCCCCTCCCCTTGTGATGTGTGGCGTGATGCCTTTACTCTCTGCTTCCCTTCCTGGCTGGTGCTGAGCCCCACCTTCACCGCCCAGTGGGACAGAGAGGGCAGGGAAGGGCGGGAGCCCCTGGGGCTGAGTTCTGGGCTCAGTGAGAGTGGGGGCACAGCCGGTTACTGCTGCTCGCGGACACGCGGCCCGCCCAAATGCGGCCCAGTTCCCTTGGAAAAAGCACAACAGTAACAGTGCTGCCGTAGCAGGGGTCTTGCCCCCCGACGCTGCAAAGGCATCAGCAGGACTGGGTGTCTGATCCAGATGGGCCCCTGGTCTCAGCTGGCACCTCTGGATGCCACTTGACTATAGCATGGCTTTTTAAAAAAGTACCTACCTACCGTTTTTCAGGAGACAAGAGGAAATCCATTTCCTCTGCTCCAAGAAATAGCTGTTGTTTCTAAAATCGTTATTGCAATTTAAGGGTGAAATGTGAGCCCCACCAAGGGCCCTGCTTGTTCAACACGCGCTGGGTGTGTAATGAATGCATCACACAGCAGTAAGTTTATTAAATGCTCTGCTAAAAACAGCTTTCAGACAGTGGGGCAGGGACCTAGAATGTATCTGGGGAGAAAAAATGGGCAACGCTGTGTTAGTTACAGGCTGTCCTTACCCAGCCCTTGTGTAGCAAAGCAAGGCCTGCACAGCTGAACCTAAAACAGGCAGCAAAGGGAGGAGTGCTAGTTAAGGTGAAGTTCTGTATTGCTTTCTTCATTGCGCTTGTTTTTAAATGGAAGGAGGCAAAGCCATACGAGAGGGCTTCTCACCACAGCCAGGTTTGGACAATAGTGTGGAGTTAAAGGGTTTGAAGAAGCTTAAGGGATCATTTTGGACGTGCAGCACCTGGGTGAATCCAGCAGGTAAGCTCACCTGCTAAAAGCCAACCTGAAACCAAGCCATCAAACCACATAAACTTGATTTAAAAACCTGCCTCTGACTCCTCAACCACTGCCCTGCTCCTGCACCAGCTTTACCCGTGAAACCAGTGGGAAGGGGCCTGGGCCCTCGGCTGGCAAGGGGGGAGCCGCATCCCCGGGTTCCCTCCTGCAAGCACAACACCTGCTCTAGAGGAGGGGGCGCAAAAGGCACCTGCTGTGCTCCTTGCTGGGGAGGCAGGGCCGCCCCTCAGCACCACAGAGGGGACTCTGCCCATCCCCTTCCCCTCCCAGCAAACCCCACCCCTGCTAGATCCCTGCAGGCACGGGCACCAGCTTCACCAGCTCCCGGTGGTGGCCCTCCGGGCTCAGCGCCATGTTCCCTGTGCCTGCCAAAGAGAGAGGTGCGGCCTTCTCCTGAAGACAGCATGGTGGGAAGGGTAAGATCGTCTTTTCCGTGCTGCCTCTTGGTCTTCTGTCCTCCCCAGGCCTGTCCTGACACCTCCTCGCCCTTCGTGGGCAGCGTGAGGCCAAAAGGCAAAATTTCAGGCTCGGGAGTTAGCTTTAAAGGGCAAGGCCTAACATACGGAACAGCAGCTGTGAGCTCAGCCCGTGGTACCGCCTGTCCCTTCCGTGTGAAAAGGAAACAATGTTTAATCTAAACCACTGAAAACCAACAGTGCATCTAAGCAAGATATAAAATTAAAAAAAAAAACAAAACACCACAAAAGCAAGTACACATCTTTCACAGGTTGGGATTTCACAAAATAAGACAGAGGAAATTGATTCTTTTTTTTCCACATAGAGACTAAAATAAAATAATTTTTTAAGGTTTCCATTCCAGTACCTTAATTCCCCATTTCTACCACTGTCTGGTTCTTTTTCTGTTTCTGTACCTTCCCTCATGACTTACTTGTAGGAAAGGGAGATTGACCCACCCCAGCACCAAAGAATTAAGGCAAACCAAAGAAACTGCACACCTTGAGGGCAAGCAGGCAGGGAGCTGTTTCACTGCTTTCCCTATCAAGAAGGAAAACTCTTGTGACCAAACTGAAGTCCTTATGAGAAATTTTGAAGTGCATTGCAAAGAATTTTCATCCAACATTTGTCTTGGGAAATTGGGAAGATTCTAAGTTAATTCTACATAAAACTCTTGCTTTATTGCCCTATGTTCAGCTGTTCTTATGTTCATAATAAAATAAGCATCACAAACTACTTGAAAACTATGTTATTTTTTACCTTTCATAAAAACGGACCCATAGGATATTTACAGGAAATAAGGCAGAATTCAATTCCAAATACTCTGCTAATCTCAGCTGCTGCTAATTTTGATCAATTTCAATTCAGTTTATTCTTTAATGTAAAAAACAAAACAAAACAACAGATTATGACACTTCATACACACCACATTACCATAGCTAGTAAAGGGGAAGAGGGCTGCAAAGGTGAGTGGCAATGGACTTTAATGTGGATACCATGTAGTCCGTTACAAAATATGCTTCAAGAATTTTATCAAAATCCTGCAGAGAACTTTACCCAAACCTCAAGTAAAAAGGAAGAAAGAGGGGGCGGTGGGGGGGGAAAGGATAGATATGCACACACACAAAACCAGTATGTCAGTTTTCCTCTGAGTAAAACTGTTGCATTACTGAATCCCTTAAAAAAAAAATCTCAGTCATGTTTTTGTAAAAATGAATATTTTAAAATTTTTGTCCAGCTCCTTAGCCCTATATCTTCTTCCAACCCCTTTATCACTAGTTGAAGGGAGAATACAATCAGACTTCCCAGCTACTGATTTGCAGTAAATGCAGTCATTTGTAACACAAGTCAGATGCTTACTTTTACAATTCTGCCCCTACTGTTTGTTTATCTGGGGTCAGTGCAGAATCCTGAATGATCTGCTACCAGGATGGTAGAGGAAGAGGAAGAAAGCAAGAGCAGAGGCACCTTTATCCCTTGTTTCTTTCAAATCTTGCGAACCTTGGGCAGTCAGAAATGCAGCTGGGAACAGCACTTGCATGGATCAGCCAACACGTAATCCCAACATCATTCCAAAAAAACCAGTCAAGCAGTGAAAACAAGATGTAACTCTCCAGTGCCTAAAAGGTAGGACTAACATTGTGCACTAAATGTCTTTCTAGCACTAGTTTTTTAGGTTTTTTAGGGCTGCAGCTGACACATAAGCGCAATGCAGGATCAGCCAACACAGATAAAAAAAATCACTGGGAACCAACTTATGTACAGTAATGCAATAGTCCCATTGCTCATTTTAGTGACAAAGAAACCTCCAGGATCTCTCCATCCCCCGGTAAATTCTTCCTGGTGTCATCAAAAATGTTTTGGAAGCCTGGCTGTCCAAGAGAGCAGTTCTTCACTATGTTTCCATTGCAGTAATTTTTCTGACATTATGTGCTTTAGAGTTGCTCCTCAGCCTAAACATTTCTCCCTGAAGCTCTGACAGCTGTAGGACTACATCTCTTTTTTCCTCCACACTGTTTTCTTTCAGTTGTTCAAAGGCCATCTTCCTGTCCTTCACCACTTCTCTGATCTGGATATCTATTCAATATATCTGGATACCTATTTAATATCCAACCAACACATTTGTCTTCTTCCACAATAAGTTTTACCAGCTCAAAAAAAATGTTACTGTAATTTCTTTTGAAAATCAGCATTTTTCTTAAAACACTAAAACTTCATACTTTGCCCCATAGACCAGCATCATGAATTTTGCAGAACATTTAAGCGTATGAAAACGAATAGACATTTAGCCCTCACTGTTGACCAATACTGTGTCATATCACCCCCGAACCTTGAAAATGTGAACTATAAAAT